CACTAAAGGATTACTCATGAGGTGACGATCGTGATCAGAATAGAACAGTGAACATTCAATGGATCAAAACAGAAATGTACTGGAAATAGTTTAATGAGCACTGTGGATCTTTATTTGGACCCTCAAAGCTACAGGTGCTTTTGTGCCAAAATGCCCGTAGCAGGTTTGTACAGGTAAAGTTGGATTCTTGGAGCAATGTCACCTTAAATGTGAGTTGAAAAACACAAAACAAAACAGGACATTTTTCAACTCTGGAGCTTCCAGTTGGTATGTTCTTGTAAAGGTGACAGTAGTGCCCGTGGTAATCGCTGCACTTGGGGCAATGACCCCGAAGCTGGCGGAGTGGTTTACACCTTCAAAATCTCCAGAAAAGTCCAGAAATGTGCAGTGCTAGGAACAGCAAACACAAACTTTTGGGTTTGGGAGCATAGCCAAACTTTTCTTTTTTTTTTTAAATATATACTCTTCCCTCTGGTGGCAGTATAGGGAGTTACGGCCAGAAAGTATTGATTTACCCTTCATACCTTTTTCATCATGTATTGTATGTTTGCAACAATATTTCACATTCTAACCCAAGAGAGGATGAAGTAAAGTGAAAAAAAAAAAATCCCCATAATATTTAATGGCTAAAAATAATGCATCATATGTCTTCATTAATCGAACAGAGATGCCCTACTCCAGATACTAAGTTGTTGTAGGAATATACACCTTCATTCGAGCGGTGCACGGAAACACGGTGTGCATAAAAGATAACGACATTTATTATTAACGCAGGTCTTATTTGAGAGCAGAGTGAACAGCTTTACGGGCTGGAGCGATCTGTGTTTAGCATGAGAAATCTGATAAGGTGAGAGCGCAGTGTCTGCATGAATACTGAAAAGCACATAATGTCAGAGAGCGCCTGAATGCACCACACTGCTCCCTTACCCATGTGCCTTTGCTGCTTCTACATTCATTCTTGGAAACCCACAAAAACAAACCGTCGCAGTGTGAATCACAGCTAAAGAAGGCGTCAGGGAGAGAGACATGGAGGGATGAGGAGAGAGAGAGAAAGAAAGGGCCGAGGGATAGAGGAGGTGTGACATGCTTTACAATGAGATCATTAACCTTGGGAAGAGGCCTCTGCTGCACAAATACTCCACGCAGACGGGACAAGCATGAAGAGAAACGCATGTAAGAGGCTCAACGTGCATCTCATTCAATTTCCTCCAAGAATGAACCATACAAGACACAGGGCTGCGTGTCTCAAACTGTGGTGCACGTCCCAAAGATGGCTCACGGAGGTATTTACTCGTAGTGTTAGAATCCTCACACAGAGCATAGAACAGCTCTTGCAACTTCAAATCAGCCCTCGGCCCAAGGCGTCATACGGTGACTGAGGTGGCTCTTTCTTAAGCAGTTGTGATGGTAAGTTAGGTACCCTGGCAGGATGTTTGCGTGACTTCACAGTCATTTTCAGGCATATTGAAGGATCACACAAAATCAATGTGTTTACTCCTATCAGACAGGAATTTCAACAGAAGCTTACCAAATGACCAAGATTAAAAGGGCAGGAGTTGGGACAAACCTGGTTAAGGGGTTCTAATGGATCACTCATGTGTGCGTGTGTCCCTCCTTAAAGTGACCGTTTTATTATTGTACGATAAAAATCAAAAGATCGCGATATCTGGTTTGATGGATCATGATTTTCACAGCCGAGTTAAAAACGTCAGTATCCTTTCTTCCAAGATAAGAAGCATGTTTTTACCTCGATTAATGTGTTGGCTTTCACTGGGATAAGTTTAAACATCATTCAGTTCATAAACTTTGTCGATAAAAAAAGTATATAATTTCACCTTTTTACTTTTCTGCTTTAAGTATCATTATAGAGTGATATTTCTCTTTCATCCTTGAGGAGCAGAAAAACACCTCGGTTCACTTTGTGATGTGGCACTAGCAGCAGAAGCCCGCCTCCAGGAGGTGATTGACAGGTGGGAAATCAAAACAGCGAATCCACGCACTACAGCCTCTCCTGGGTCCAGCCTATGGTCCTGTGAACTGTGAAAAATTAAGAAGAGCAAAATATGGAACCGTTTAAGTACTAATACAATCGGAAATCAAGATTGGACAAAATGGAAGAGGGGGGATCAAAATATTCAATAATAATAATAATCCTGGTTGAATTCAAATCCTGAGCCACTTCCCATTGGTGTAACTATTCTCTTCCAGCAAATCTTACTGGTAGTGGTAATGCCAAGGGGGAGAACTGTAATAAATATATTATTATGAAAATTACTAGATAGATAATTTTCTTTTTAGTGTCACATTTTAATGTTTAACTTTCTATTGTACTGTTTTAGTATCCCCAGTGTTTCACCTGGAGCAGCCCTCTGCACCGGGAGCTGGGGTCTGCTGTGGCTGCAGGGGTCTGGCTCTTGGATCTTGCGTGGGGTCTGGGGCCTTCTCTCTCCTCTGGGTCCTGTCATTCCCTGTGGCTGCAGCAGGCTCTCTGCTCCTGGTGCAGATGGCTCCTTGGATGGCGCTTCTTCAGCCGGTTACATCTGCACTCAGCCCCATTTCTTGTTATTGTTTTACCTATTTTAACTGATGTGACTTTATATTTGTGTGTGTGTGTGTGTGTGCGTGTGTGTACACGCATGTGGGTGTATACAGTATATAATAATAAATGTGGTTTTTGGGAGGGTCTGTGGGAGGTGGGGTTTAGGGCTGGGCATATTGGATCGTCTTTAACTTAACTGTAAAGCACTTTGTGTTGCATTTTTGTTGTGTGAAAAGCGCTCTATAGATAAAATTTGATTGATTTATTGATTGACATGGGGAGGCAGCGTGTCAGATTTATGCAGCTAAAATCTGGAATAGTCTTCCTGAGAATGTGGGACAGGCTTCTTCCCTGACAATGTTCAAATCCAGGTGAATGACGGTTCTATTTTCCTGTACATTAAACTGAAGGATTTTATCTCTACTAATTTGAATGCATTGTTGTTATTATTAATGACCTGTGTGATTATAATTGTGTACTTAATGGTAATTTTTGGTGTTTATGTTTTATGTGATGATTTGTGGCTTGTGTGGTGTGGACTGAGAAGCGCTTTGTGTTATCTTGTGTAGGAAAAATGCTCTACAAATAAAGATTTATAGATTGATTGATACTATAGGGTTGTATGGTCAAAAACATGTGTTCTGTTCGAAATGAAAAACAATTGAAGGTACAAACATCTCCTTGATCACGTAACACATAATTATGACGCAGCAAAACAGACATTTTTTGAGACAATTTAATAATAGACTATATTAATCACTTATAAATATTCAGTAAATTATGTCAGTTTTGTTAACAAATATTTACAGAGCGGTTAAACAGTCCCTTTGGCAAAAGCAGTAGGCAGTATCTAAAGTCACACAGAAAAATAAAACTAATCATCATGGGAGCTGTAACATAAAATCCTCTTCAAATCAGCAGCCAGGACACAATGTCATTTCTCTACATAAATATATAGTTTAGTCAATATTTTAGTCACATTGTTAATAAATAATCTCTTCAGAAAACAAGACAATGCGGAAGACATTAATCCAGTGCTGAATTCAAGTCATAAATAGTTTTAAGACCAATCTGGTAAATATAAAAGAACTAATTTTAGCACAAATGCCCGAGTCCTCATGGGACACGTTCAAGTATAAAAGTGAGAACCGTTACCAAGGAGATCTGCTGATGCGGCTGAGTGGTTCTATTGTACATCAGTATTCGCTACTTCTCCAATACCATAATGCTTTGCAGGCTGGGGGGTCCTATGCTATCTTATGTAATTATCGATCTAATACACACAATCTAAAACAGTCAATATTGCTTTGTATTAGCTTCCATCAACCTTCAAAGACGCATGGATGAAACAAAGCTTAGATGAAACAAAGTGTGGAGAGGGAAGTCTGTCTCTGCTTAGACTGCTGCCCCCGCGACCCGGCAACGGATGAAGCGAAAGAAAATGGAAGGATTGATGGATCTGCTTAAACAGGTCTGTAACTTATTTGTTGATTTTGAAAAGTCAGCAGAGGAGAAAGCTCTCATTTTCCTTGCGTCCTGTTCATTCAAATGGTGCTGCTCTTCAAATGGCCAGCAGATGGCGATCATTTCCATTTTTTTAGTGCGTCAGAAACACAGGTTGGTGATTTAAAGTGTTCCTGTGATCTTTGAGGTTTCAAACTGTCCTTCTCATCAGGAATTACACATTACTCGTACTCCCACCGAACATTGACCACTTGTCACTTGTCTATGAGAGTGATCCCCCCCCCCACTGGAAAAGCATTATGGGATTTGCGAATGAAGAATATTAAAAGCAAATGATTATATGGTTACCCCAACATTAAAACGATCACATGAGAACAGATACTTATGGGTTTTGCATAGAATCATCATTGCATTTCCTTTTTTTTCTTCACATTTTTCACAATTACAAAGATGGCTTACTCTTACAAATAGCTGTTAGTGTAGCTTTGATACCAGCAAGAGTTAACTTCATCACAGAAATCACACTATTAAACAATGCACTTTATAATGATGTCCTATATTCTACATAGATGCCACAAAAACATTATTTTGGGCTTTGTGTAAACATGTGAAAATTGGACTAAAGGATCAGTTCCATAATCACGTCATGCAGCTCAGCCCAAGTCTATACACTAACATGCCGAAAATAAATATACTATTCACCAAGGCCCAAACGTGAAATGATTAAAACCATTTAAAGATTCAAAAATAAATAATTCAAACATCATCGTTTTATCAATCGTAACCAAGAATAAAAAAAAGTCATCAAATATATATTATTTGCTTGTTGAATAAAAACAGCCGTTGAGGCATGAAATAAAGTAAAATAAAGTAAAATAAAAGCAGCCTTTGCAGTAGTGTAAACCAGGAGCATCAGACTGTAAAGGTCCGAGCTCAGAAATCCTCAGATGTCTTTGTGATGGAGTCAGTTACCGCAGTCTGGTCCTTTCCACGGCGTTTACAGCAGATCGCTTCCATCGTAGACCACGGGTTTGTCCACGCTCAGGTGATACTGCACTTTCTTTGAGATGAACCTGTTCACATAGTCACACATTCACTTCAGAAGGTGATGTAAGACGCAGCACTGAGAACTGAAGGAAATAGAATGCAGACCTTTGAATAGATTTGACTCGATAACTTACTGTAGTAATCGAGGCTCTGAAGCCAAGTCAACGTGCAACATTTATCAGTTACACACACATGATTAAACCAACCCAAGAGGAAGTCGCAGTAGAGCTGTGCTAAAGAGCTAAACACACTAAGGTTTGAACGGCTACTTCATTGGTGATCCAGTGGTGGACTCAGGTCTACACCTGGCCTTGGTGACACGAGCCTCCAGACACAGACACAGCCGGTGACATATATATTGCATCTTATGTAAATCCAAATCATTTACATGGTCATTTCTCCATGAACATTTTATTCTAACGTTGTTTATCACACATTAATCAGATAGATGCTTTTTGTTTTGACCTCGGCCGTCTGAGCTTCACCTTTATACAAGTAAGTGATGAAATGCACTCTACTAAAGACTACTCCAATTAGAATTAATATAAAGAATTGAACCAATCGTAGCCAAGTCAGGATATACCTTTCTGTACCGAGAGACCTATAAGAATTGGAGTCCACAGACCTGGAGAAGGAGTTGTCAAAGATGAGCGTGTATTCTCCTGGGTGGCGCACTTTCAGCTCTCCTTGAATCGTCTCTTTGTGTGAATCGCAGCGGGTCAACGGGATCAGGACCTGAGCAGAGACAAGGGCAGCCATTTTGTTGAGAACAGGGTTTGAAAGTAAATGAAGGCCTTTGAAACAAGTCGTAGTCTGACCTTGGCATAGGAGCAGAGCCTCCAGTTTGTTCTCTAATAAACTGATCTGTAATCATCTACAAACGCTTTGGCAGCAGAATACATAAAACAACGCAAGAGTAGAAATAATGATGTCATCATCAGATCTTTGTGTTATAATGTAATGAATGTACTGAGAGAGAGAAGAAATACATTGGACAGAGAGATGACTGTAACACAGACTGACGTTTGTATTCTGTTCCATCCTCTTCATGTCAAGAAAGTAAATGTTTTATTATTGTTTGAAGAAATGTAATCATGATTTTTCATGTTAACATGAGAACTCCCAGAGCAGTCATTTTGACGGTTAACAGTAGGTAATTTAAAAGGTTTTTACCTTTAACCTCTTTACACCCACCGGCGCGCCGTTTTTATGTTTTTAAATGTTCTGCTGGCAATAGCAGATGTATTTTGAACACCAAACCCCAAAAGCTGTATATCATTTTAAAGCTTATTTTCTTATCTACATTTATATACAAGTGTAAACTACATCAGACTTTGCATTCAAAAGATATAACACATAATGTGGGCACAAAATAAATCAATTCCGAAATTGTTTTTTACCTTTGGGCTTGTGCTGTACAAATAAATCAGCTCTCCTCCCAGCTTGCAATACATCATTCTCTCTGGAACAGTCCAAAGGAAAATTATATCCACTTGTATTACCCAAAGTAAAATCCATTCTGCAGAAATAATCCAAAAATTTGCATTTATCTTTAGCAAAAAAAACGAAAAAAACGAGCACAGATGTTACTCTTTCACTTTTAACGGACTTTTAGCTTTGTTTTTCACCCAAACATCTGGTATCCACGTGTTCCTTAGCTCCTTATCTAGACCAATTTTTGGGTCTGCAAGAGGTCCCGTGAGTACAGCTAGCGCTGCTGTTTGCGCATGGATCACTGATCTTTGTTGTCTTCCCTTCTAGTTTGCTTCTATTTCCGGGATTTTCGATTGACATGTCCGTGTAGCCAATGAGGAAAGCTTTCGAGCAAGGGGTGGGACAATGGTGTCCTTTAGATGTCCTTTAGAAATTGAAAATATTAGGCGAGGGTAAAAAAATTGGGGTTTTTTCCCAAACTTCAAAGGATGCAGAGGGAAATAGGAATGACAAACATTATTTTAGTGTTTTTTTACATAAACTAGAAGGCTCTAGCTTTAAAATGATGCATCACACAAGCATGTGAGATGTAAGATGTGTTTTTAAATAAGCAAAGACATTTGGGTATGCCCAACTTTTGTGCACAAGCCAAAATGAGGCGGGTGTTAAGAGGTTAAGATGATCTAATATAACTTGAAACAAAGTTCGGTGAAAGGCTATATGCTAACTGCTGACGGTAAACTATGTTGCTAGCTCTGGTTCTGCTTGTTCTGATATGGTCTAAAATCAAGCTGAACCAGAACCGGTCCAGTACTAGTCCAGGAACAGCACCTTGGAGAAAACGGACTTTAACTACCATAGACTGTTAATTGCCAAATACACTTCAAATACATTTTACATTCAAATGAATGGAGTCAAAATGACGGCTCTAAGAGTGAAAGAACTACTCGCGTTTCAAAAACAAAAGATGATTTCAGAAAAATTTGTCCATAAACATAAACGTCACATAAAAAAGTCACAGCGTTATTCAGATGTACATGAGCTAAAGTAAGTGAGTAATTATGCTTCCAAATGTAAAAGCCGTCAAACTGACGGTTGCTCAGAGTTCTAGAGTTTAGATAAATGAGCAAAAAATCAAGATCAATCCAAAGTTCACTTTTGGATTTGGTTTAGATTATAAGGTGGAACGTTACTAAAGTATAGATTGTGGTATTGTAGTGCGATGCTCAGAAGATCACAGGCTTGAATCTCCTCAGTAGATAAATAGTTTTTATATTTCTATCATAACAACACAACAGGATGAAAGCAGAGGTGGCACCTTGGCTTGTTCCAGCGGCAGCTCCGCACTCTCTCTGAAGACCACACTGAAAGAGATGCTCTTGGGCTCCGAGGTGAAGGTCCAAGAGACCGTGGGCCCCGCACTGCTCACACTGAGGGGGAGGACGCTGTAACAACTGGATTTGATGAACAGCTCACGGTAACTGTCCCCGAACGAAGAGATGTCGTCCAGAGAGAACGGGATACGTACTCTACAACACAAGGGAGCACCATTTACATTTTTCCTGTTTCACTGCCAAAACCCTTAGAGCAGGGGTGCACAAAAGCTTTTACACAACGGCCAAGATTAACACGCTATAGTCTTTTCTTGTTTCGTATTTCACATCTGTGGTTATTTTAAAAAAAAAATTGTTTTATCTTTTTACGTTGATGGAGATATTGTGACCAGATAATTGGTTGAATTCAACAGGATAAGGATAGCCAAACGTTTGGATAAATTTTGCCTGGTAGATTCAGTTATGTTTGGATTGAACTAAAACTGGACTAAAGTTCAAAATTGTTTTATTTAACTATTGGTAATTGCATTTTGGATCCAATGTTAACAATAAAGAAAGACATGAGAAAATTAGCCTAGGGGATATAACATGCCACGGTACAAACCAATTCTTTCATTTTAACAATAATAATTAGGGGGAACCTCTGCTCCACATGAGAGAATGGCATCTTCCTAAATTCAGATGGAACATGGAACAATTACAGATATGAAAGAGTACATTACCTTTGTTAAACACTAAAGTGGATTTTTATCTTTATTTTTTTCAAATAAGAGCAAAGAGTGATATCTAGATCAAGACGAACACATTCTAAACATGTACTTTTAGTAGTTCTAGTTATATAGGATCTTCGGTCCTGATTTTCTGATGAATGAATGAAGTTTATTTTGGTCAGTACTTCTACAGCAGAAAGACAAAAAGGAGTAGGCTGAAGCTAATACTCATTCTGCCCCTTTTTACAGTGGAATTAGAATAAGTGAATGTATACAATATGATTTACATAAGCAACTGCATAAACATCAACATTCTGGGTTCATGTGGCCATCCAATATGATAGCTTTAAACTTTTTTTTAAGGTGGAAAAGTGAATGACATGATTTACGTTCATGGGCTTGTTCACTCTAAAGAGCAAAAAGTGTGACAAAAGGCCAAAAATTTGATTTTAATAATCAGAAGATATTTTATGTTTTTCATGTTTCCAAACACCTCCTCTGTCCGTTAGAAGTTGTTAGAACATAACTGTTTTATACATTAGACAAGTTTCCTATAGCGGCCCTGTTTATTTTATGTAACGAACGTGATGATTTGACAGAATGAGCTTTGTGGAAGTTTGATAGGTATTTTCAGATGTCCACATTTGATTCAGAGATTCTATTTTTTTACACAAAGTAGATGCAAAGTGATACTTTCATATTGTCAAGCAATTAAATGTGAATACAGACCAGATTTTTATTTTTCTCAAGTTACATTTTTAGAGAAAAGAGGACCGTCCTCATCACGTCCGTTACACATTTTTCAGGGGTAAATTAATTAAATAATTATTTTTTATTTTTTCACGATTCGTTTTTATATCAAGTGATTAACTTGATGTGTGATTTCATCTTCTGCTTTTTCAGACTGAGGACATTTTATTTTCTATATAACCGGCATCACAGTAGAATGGTCAAATAAGATTTGATTTGGTCGTTTAAAATGTCGCTAAAATTTTTTCTGTCAATCTTTATTTTATTTATTTTTTCCATACCATCTCTTCAATGTGTCTGTGTTTGAAATCTTTTTTCCAATCTATGAAAGTAATTTTAGTTTTTAAGTTATAACCTTTTAAAGTCCAGATACTTTAATTGTCACTTTACTGTGAACACACTCTCATCCGAGCATCCATTCCAGAGATCAACCCCTCAAACAGATAAACAGCATTTCATTTCATTAGTTCAACATTTTTGCTTTACGAACACGTCTGTTGCTCCGATGAGATATCGCTGTCAAATTCCTGGTTCTAACACACAGATCTTGGATGGGAGGATTACCAACAGTCGGATGCCTCTAAAGTGCAATTTATTGTTGTGACCTTGGGCAAGACACCATGACAACGGCCGTAATGTGAATCCGGACGCGATTGCAATATTCTAAAATTGATATGGCGTGCTCAGTGTTTACAGTCTGTAGTTGAATACAAATACCACTTTTTGTTTGCAAAATCTTTGCAAGCTCACCGGACAATAACAATGCTGTGTATGATTAGGGAAGCGGTCAGTGTTACATAACTTTCATGTCTCACTTCTCAAATCCAAAAGGGTGGGAAGGGTGAACTTCCAACCCCCTCTGTCCCGGTGTTCAACTCACGTGAGCTCTCCGGACTTGAGCAGGCCGATCTCTGCGTCCTGCACCATCGCACCCGAGTCCTCTGGGTCTTCAGAGGCCAGGTCCCCAGCACTCACGCTGCTGTTCCTGAAAAAAGAAATACATTTAAATCAATATGTTGCGACATGTGACATCACAACACTCCAAGGAGCATCTAGTCTAACTAAAGTTGGAGTATAGATAGCTTCCTCATAGGGATGTAAAAAACTATGAATTTTCATGACCGACCACCGAGCCTCATTAACCGGTTGAAACCGGTTAACCGCGTAGTTTAAAATAGTCCACGTTCTTTGAAATAACAACCATTTCGAGCCGCGTACTTTTCATAAGTGCAGCTCTGCGTTCTACTGGATCAGAGTTGAGACAGCGGCGCCCAAACCCGCAACAGCTCCGGCACCTTTGCGCACAGAGAACTGCTGTTTTAATCTTCCCATTCTGCTGTGCTGCGGGTTAATACCAAAACTTTCTAGCAGCAAACGACGGCTCGTTCACATGGTCAGAGCAGCGAGTGACGAGCCGCGTCTCACAGGTCTTCACAAAAGTTTAAATACAAGTGATGTTGTGGAGCTGATCCCGAGGACCATAAACACAAACATGTTCCATGTGGTTTGACTGGAGCCGCGTATTTGCGCGAATCCTTTGGGCTCCGTGACACAGAGGAGCGCGACAGACCGGTATGTGTGTGTGTATGTGTGTGTGTATGTGTGTGTGTATGTATATGTGTGTGTGTGTAAATGTAAGCTCCAATGTAGTTCTGACCCGCGCCAGTGTGCAACTTTGACGGTAACAGAGGGGAGAGATGATGCGTGTGGATGTTACGTATGGAGAGGGGGAAAGTGTGTGTGTGTGTGTGTGTGTGTGTGTGTGTGTGCGCGCGTGCGCGTGTGTGCATATGTGGCTCGTGCGGCGTGAGAGTCGTCCCGGAGTTTATAATACATGGGCGCACACAGCTAGATACAGACCCGCTCGTCACACCGTGCAAATAGGGCTTAAAATAGCGTTATTAAGAGACCTCCCCTCTCCCCGTTTTCTCTTTTTTTAACCGACAGCTTTGACCGGTTAACGCTGTGACGGTCAACCACCGGTTAAACGGTCGCCGATTTACATCCCTACTTCCTCATGCTAAAACTAGAGATTTTATTTGATGTTATTTTATAGAGAGAGAGAGAGTTCTTTAGTATAGATTTTTGTATAGTAGTATAGGATTATAGAGCTATGTTCATTTATCTTACATTGTGCTGTGTGCTCCTCATTCCTACTGTTCTGTAACTGGTGATGCAACACTGAAATTTCCCCACTGTGGGACGAATGAAGTATCTCTTAGTCTTAATCCTAAAACAATGGCAGGAGTGGTGGTGATACCATTCAATAAACGTATACACAATGTCTCTTTCTCGTGCATATCATTTAAGTTTAGGATATCCTTATTGATATTGTTTGAATTTAAAACTGGTCCACCCACTCAGCGAAAAACTGTGCAAACATGACATTAAGACACAAGACAAATAAGCAACATGTATTCTCAATCTAGAATCAAATGAACAATTGTGTTCATGATGGCTGAGGGATGGAGCTGCACGTGTCACGCTGCAGTTGTGTGTGATACCTACAGTTGTGCCGCTCCCTGCTGGCCGTGTGTGGAGGTGCAGGCTGTCAAGAATGAGTCACTGTCGTAGACGCAGCTCACTTCCTCCTCTGTGATGATGTCAAACACACCATCGTCCTGTTTCGCTGCAGCGTCGGCTCCTGAAGAAACACACAACAGCCTCAGCATCCTACACTTTTGAGATCCCTTTTGGATTTAGATCTCGTGTGGATCTCATAAAGCTTGACAACCTTGAGTTAGTTCTGGTTTTCTAAGTTAGAATAGTTCTCTATAGTAGTCCATCTAAAGTGCACCTTTAGCTTTATCTTTACCCTTCAAAATCCATTCAATTCAAAAAACTTTATTTAACCGTCAGAAATGTATTTGCAGACAGAGCACCGGTGGGGATACCAAAAAACACAGAAATAAAAAGTCACTAAAAGGAATAGTATAATAGTATAATAATTTTGGAGTGTTTTCAGAATTGTTTGGATCTCAAAAAGTTTTTCTTGTAAATTTGACCAAAACAAAGCTCGTCATGCTAACCTATTCTGCAAGCTGAATTCTGGCAGTATTTGTGAGTTCACAAACACACGAGACAACGTATTTGAGTCCTACACAATCATCAATCTGGCTTTTGCCAGGTTAAAGTCATGCTCCATCCTCATAGAAATGACTTGTACACATCTGGTTGTTTGAATAAAAATACTGTAAAACACCTTTTCATTTAATTCTGTAGTTATTATAGAATTGTCTGAGTCATAAAACAAAAACACACAAAACACAATTAAAGTAGCAATATATGCAATGTAAAGTCATCATTAAGGGCCCTAATTTGTCAAAAGGCATTAAGAAATCATGGTCGTTTCCTAACTGATAACAGTAGTTCAGCCCCTAAATCTTGTTATTGTATTCATTTCGATGTCCCTCCCAGCACCGTTTTACCAATCAGAAAGTACATGATCCAGGTTGCCAGACCTCACCACGTCGAGCTAATCTCACTGGTAAAGTAACAAAGTTTTCGTTATGATTCTCAAAACATTAATGACAAAACAAGGTTTATAACGAGGATTTCCATCAGGGATGCATTTGTGAAAAAGGTGTTGGTTACGGTAGATTTGTTGTTGAAAAAACTCTTTGTCTGCATATCTGAAACTTGAGTCAGGGAGAGTGGGAGAGGACTGCAGAAATTGACCGTGATTGCAGTCCCACTTTTGGCCAGATTTTTACATATTGCTTCTTTAATCAATTAGTAAATTGTTACAGCTGAACATAATGAACTGACTCATTTGTTTGCATTGATATTGAAATGGCTCTTTCCTGGCCCTTCTGCTCAATGACTTTCTTGCACCGTGTAAGCCAACATGTGCTGTGGTTACACCTTTTGACCACAGGTTTGACCTAAATGGATAACACTGTGTGGGGAAACTAACACCGCACATCATTCTAATCACAACCTCCCCAGTGTCAAACCTTTTGGTGGTATAATCGAGCTGAGAGTTGAGGTAAATGTGGATAGAGACTAATACAGGACAATCTTGGAACAAAAGCTCGACGAATTGATGCAGAGGTGTAAGAGGAACATTCATGTGTAAGAATGACCAAAGCAAAGTCCAGACCTAAATCCATGTTTAGGATTCATGTCCCACTTTCAATGTACAGTAAAAACAAACCCATAACCTTCATGTATTCATTTTCTTTCACTGCATTATTGTCACTTTTTGTTGGTATTTTGCAAAATATCCTTAGGACAAAATGTGGAACACTCACCTGTCACCAGACTAGTAGCAGCTCTTCCCGCCTGCAGCAGTCGGCTGAGAGGAGTCGCTGGGGAGCTGCTGCTGTAGTTCACGGGCTCCTCCTGCGGGTGGCGCTCTATCACTGCGCTGTGCTGGTTGTAACAGTCCTGGCAGCAGCGCTCTGTGGGGCCCTGCTGTGTGCTCACAGAGTTACTGCAGCAGTAGTAGCAGAAGGGACGCCCACACAATCTGCCACAGAACAACAGGTCAGGGACAGTTAGAGACACAATTATTTATATAAGTGATGAAATAATTAATGCATTAAGTATGGAGAAAACGAACAACCTATAGAAATATGGAAACCATCAGCGATTGTTTAAATGATATAAAAGGTCGCACTTTTAAATGCAGCATGAACAAAATAAATGAATAAACAGGGCTAACACACCTGCGATAGATATTTCAGAGGAGTTACATTGTGCCAAATCCAGCCTGAATCTTTCTGAGCCGACACACTTTCTAAAACAAGGGCAATGCGTTTCTCTCTTCATGTAAACGGTAATATAAAGTGTTTCTGATTTACAGCGTACCCACATGACGGTAGAGCTTTATGTCTGTTTACAAATACTTAAGAGTTGCTTTCAATACCAAAAGTGCAATATTTGGACTCTTTTGGATCTGGTTCCTCTGAGCCACTGTCCACACTCTTTCTCAAGCCAAAGATTTTAGAAACCCGCACAAGGAGGAAAAACCTAATCTTGCAGTTTATGTTTACAAACCTAAAGACCCCGGCAGAGCTTTTAAATCTAGTCTAAAGACACATTTGTACGCTTTGGCTTTTAACACCAATTATACCGTTTTACTTTTTACATGTATGTGCATGTATATTATGCTGTTTTCATTTATTTTTTCTCTTTCGTTTCTGTGAAGCACTTTGGGTAGCTGGTGTTGTTGTAAATGTGCTAAACAAATAAATCTGACATTGACATTAACGGTTTAACACTGTAATATGTCAAACAGTATGTGGATATGTGAACTATAAAACATACCGAATAAATACTATTACTGTCACTACCCCAAAAGGCTTCTACAGCTGTGTTTTTCCCCTTTGTGCCAAAATGCCTGTAGAGACTGTCTAACCATCTGAGTATCACGAATGAAGAGATAGTAAACAAGAAAAATACAAAATAAATGATTACATGGTGGTGAAAACGGGGGACTGTCAAAGCAAATGTCAGCTTGAATGAGGGAGAAAATACCGCTCAAAACATGCTAAAGTGACTCTAAAGTGTGAAAAGGAGTAAATTAGCACTGCTCCTACAACTTGGTACAATGCAGCTCTCCTTTTGGCTAACGTTTATTGTACACTGTCCCTGTAAAAATAAAAATCATACCCTACCAATAATATGGGAGAAACAATGACAAGACGGTAAATTGTGCCCTTTAAAAACTAACTCCCTCACATTGGCAAACTAAACTGTCCCCAAACCCACTTTCCCCCAAAAATTGCATGACCTTACAGTAGCACAATCTTCGCAGTCAGAAAGTTTATCCTCAAAGCCACCACTCAAACTGTGACTGGAGCTGTCATCTGTGTACCGTGTGCTAATCCGGCCTGACGCGTGCACTTTGGCTATGATAATCGGCGAGTCCCCTGTGAATTGAGCGACTCCGCGGCCGCGCTAATTTGAATTGGACACAGCTTTGTTGTTGACGAGGACAAGGGCAGGGTTGGCGTGTCCCGAGGCTGACCTGCAGGTGTATTTTCGGAGCCAGAAGCTGAAGGGGCTGAGGCAGGAGACGCAGTGGTTCACGTCCCGCTCCATCTCCTCGTCCCGGAGTTTCTGCTCAAACTCCAGGGCGTCTGTCCTCTGCCACAGCGTGTCCTTCTCCCTGTGGAACAAACGTTATGAATATTTACAGTAACAGGTCCATACACAAGTCCAGCTCGATGGCAGGATGGACGAAACGTAGGTCCGTCCATCCTGCCATCGAACTGGACTTGTGTTAAATCTTACAACAAGCCCTTCTGTGGAGGCACAGTAAAGAGAAATGTTAGAAAATAGCCCAAACTTCTTATAAAGGAATAAATGACATCTGCAACTTGATTGTGCTTGATTGTCATTTCACTGGTATTGAAAAATCAATACCAAAATCAAAATCAAGGCCAAGAATACTGTACATGCATGTGAAAACCAGAGACAGTGTTGAGAGTGATGAACTAGTTACATGGTATTTACTAAATAGTAATAAGAATATTTTTTGTGCTTTCGAAATCAGGTACTAAAAATAAATCAATGAAACAAGAATATCATGGACATTTCATGAAAAGACAATCTCTCAAACAAATATATATTTTTTGTATTTATTCGCGATACTTTTTGTATAGTAGTGTGCTCTTTATTCACTTGCTTGGTGAACAGATAGTATCACAATTAGGGCTGTCAAAATTATCGCGTTAACTCACATTAATAAAAAATTTAATTAACGCGTTAAAAAAAATTAACGCATTAACACATGTCCGAATGACCCGCCCATTTATCCATAATATCACTCAGAATGCTGCGTGTGAGATGGCATCAGAGCAGGTCTCTGGGAATCCAGGTTTTAAAAGAATATGCGTGAGCGCGGGGCTGTTGTTTGCTATGATCTGAAGTCCGCCTCCTCCGCGGCCGCTCTGCTTGTAAGCCGCTAACAACACCACGGCTGTGAGCAGCTGTGAGCAAATGCCGCCGCGGTAACATGGTCATATAAGATGATTCACGCCACAAAACTATTGTCTGCATGTTGTGTTCGTGTCTCTGCAACCTGTGTGTAACCTGTGCACGCAAATACACTGCGTGTCCGTGTCTCCTCCTGAAACTAAACTTGCTGAATTAAAGCTGGGGTACGTAAATTTCCCCCTTTCATTAACAGCTAATTTTGGTTGTGCCCAAATGTAAAAGGTGGTGAGCAAATTTAACAGATTTAAGTACATTTAGTATGAATGACAATGTGTCATTACATTTGATAATCTCATTTAACGTCAATTGGAGTGGATTTGAAATAGAATGTTAAAAATGCGACAAATTGTGAGTTAACTCACCATTTCTGTGCGATTAATTAACTAAAAAATGTTTATCGTTTGACAGCCCTAATCACAAATCAACCCCATTTCATTTAGAACTAAAAATGGTTCTAAATTTTGGGAAACAAAGCAAAACTAGCTCAGTATAATATTTGAGCAAAAGCACAGTATTTTGGGGGAAGTAAAAAGTCGATGAAAAGCTGTTGATTGACACTAGATTAAATACATGCGTAAAATCTAGCAAAAACACAGCAAAAACAGGACACATTGAGGCTTGTACCTAATGAGCTCTATCAGCCGTTCTTCCAAATTGATTTTGGTTCGGTAGAGGTCGTCCAGTTCCGCCGTCGTCTTCTGATCCACGCTCTTCCTGTCCTGCGTGACTCGCCGTAGATTCTCGCTCAGCTCTTTGCAGGCGTTCTCTGCGGCTGCTCGCGCCTCCTCCGATCTGCCGCGGAACACAGCGTGACAAATGCTCCGTCAAAAACCCGGCTTTTCCCTATTCCCTTTTGATCGTGTTCATGCTAGCTTAAAAGATGATTCCGCCCGATCTCAGGCATCTCCGGCACAATCATAGACGTGGCGTAATAACAATAAGGAAAGCAGTCATTTCTGAATAAACAAGATTAGATTGGCGTTTCAACAGGGTTTTAAATGAGTCCAGCGTGTGATTATGAATACTGTAGCTCACCTTGATAAATTCCCTTTCAGATAGATTAACTCATTTTCTTTCTGCTGGATGAGATTTTCAGACTGGGCCATCTGGATGTTTTTCTCCTCAATCTGTTGGCAGTGTCTGTGATTCTGGGCCTGCGATCAGCACAGCAAAGCATAACATTAGTCCTGCTTCTTTGGATGATACGCTCCCGGCCATAAAGTTACGCGGGAAGCCAATGAACACAAAGCAAACGACAATTCGCTTTTGTCACACAACGACACGGCATGTACGGGCAAATTTAACCGAGTACATTAAACATAGCACGTAAAAGCATTCCATATTGTTCAGCATTGTCATTTGAACTTGATATAAGGATGCAGTCGATTAAATACAGTACATTGTTGGTAGGGGATGGTGTCTGAATGTTCTTGTTAACGTATATACTGCTATTGTGATCAAATTGTGGCATTGTAAAAGAACAGGATGCAGCTGGATTTATCAATTTCTCGTTGTGAATCGTTCCTACCTCTGCCTTTGTGAGTCTGCTCTCCAGGTCGGCTACTCTCCTCTGCTCGGAGTCTAGCTGCAGTCTCACTTCCTGTAAATCTTGATTGACGACCTGCAACAGAAGAAACATTTGCCACTAGACTTTGGAGGCGGTGGATTTGGTTTGTCAGGACGATATTGACTGTCAATCACTGGCTTTACATTCGGGCTCAAATGATTATTGGCTTTGACATTGGCCAATATCAATACACATGTGTATAGCCCGATTCTTTTTAGTCCAGCCTGTTGTCCAAACACCATAATGTATAAACACAAACATTCATTAGTCTACTGCACAACACAACAGCTGTGCCAGCACTCATGTTGTAACACAGTCCTAGTTACTGTTTATGTCGCTCAAGATTAACTCATAGTTGTTTTCCCTTGTCATTTACACACACACAATCTACGCATGTTTGAGTTATTTATATCCTTATATACTGTACGAGCCACCCTAAATCCTTCTAACACCCCCCAATAAAGCACTATGGGGGTCATAGATCATCATATTATAGAGAACAGAATAAGGTTATGCCCCCTTTAAATAACAGGGCACATCAAATACAAGTCAGCATCTCAAACCTCGGAGATCTATCCACCCCATGAAGCTAAAAAAATGTTCAACCAATTTGTTATTTGTTCTGTGCTTTTAAAAGGTGCTGTATTTATTTCCATTCTATGCAATGAAATAAGCTACTTCTAGCAATCATTTAGTTGCTTGTTTGTCTATTGCTGACCTTCACACCTCACATTATGAGCCTTTACCTGTATTTGGTTGGAGTGGTTGATTTCGTGGCTGCTGATCTGAAACCTCAGCGCCCTGATCTCTCCTTCGCTGGCGGCCTGCAGCGCCTCCGTCTCTCTCCGCGCCTGGTGCAGCGCGCTCCCGGGCACTGCTCCGTCGGCCCTGGACTTCCTTAGCAGATCGCGGTTCTCCTGCTGAAGTTGTTCTATCGTCGCGTTGAGGGCGTCGGCCTCGTCCTCCATCTCCTCGAGCCTCGAGCACAGTCCGTCCAGCTTGAGGCGCGCCTCTTCGTTCTCGGCCGTGAGCATGCACACGTGGACCCCCAGCTCCGCCGTCTCCGTGTTGGCTCGGTGCAGCGCCTCTCTGCAAACATTACGTCAGACCAAAACCTTTCATATGTATAACCCATTTAATTTTTCATAATAAGAATAATGGTAAATTATGAATGCGCGCTAGTTATAATAGACTACAAATTTTGTTACAACTGCTAATGTAAATAAGTAATCTTTATTTTACAGACTAAGTATACCCGTAAGTGCTTTAAAATGTTTTTGGAGAAAAGATAAAGAATTAGCGCTCTGTCATTTCAAAATAAAAATCGAAAAAGATTGGAGACCCCTGGTTTAAACTGTATTGCTTTTGTTTGGACATGAAATATTGTGAGGATAATTAATAAGTAAATGTTGGTTTTAAATACTACACGTTGTTAGGGACAAACTTTTTTTAAAGCTGTCCTTACGCTTCAATAGAATAGCAATAAAACAACATTTGTGATAACGTTTGACAGATTTGAATATATTGGCACGATTGACAAAATTACATAATTGATCAGTCACTAATGTTTTAATACTTGCTCACGCGTACACCAAAGACACATATGAAAATGAATCATTTGTTTTTCTTTAGTGAGTGATTCATTGTATACAGCAGTGTGTCTTGAGATGTTGTTTACTGCCTGCGCCTGTGGAAATGGTTCAATATCACATTATTGGTCAGAATAATGTGAAAAGAAAATATGTTGATAATGGATTTTATAACATAGTTTATTTTTGTGGAGTCAAAGTTAGGTACTCCAGCTTTGAATACTCTGAATTAATATTTTTCAACAATTCGTCACCACTAATCAAAGTATGGTACTATGAATGAATGTTGTTGCAGTTTAGAAAATAACAAATTTAGCTATTGTTTTGATACTGATACACTTTGGAAACCACAGTGATGGTAATTAATATTAATAAAACATTATAGTGTTTTTAAGGTATCAGTGTTTTATCCTAGTTCTGATCCTAGTTCTGATAGTTCTAGATCCTAGTTCTAGATCAAAATTAATAATAACATGAATAAATTCTCAGAGAATTTCTCATGTTGTCTTTTTTTCAGTAAACTATTCTCAAATGAGTATCTGGTTTTAATACAAGTTTAATTTATGATTTAAGTCCTATTATGCAACTTTTTAATGTGAAAAAAACAGTTTGACCCAGTGGCTGAATGAGTGCCTTAAATTTCCATCAAAGAGGTATAGGATCAATAGTTTGGAAGGTTTTCTCTACTCAAGGACCCCTGCACCTGAAAACTTACTAAATAATTGATCCTGTAGCACTGTAGACACAACTGTGATCCAAAGTTACACAGCCGCTGGGACACTCCAAGGTCAAAAAGCCGAAAATATCAACTTTATTTTCAAAAGTGGCATAAATTCTCTTTAATATCAGATTCTGGATACTTTTGACAGCCCCACTCACCTCGCGTCTGCGTTCTCCAAACACAGCGTGTCGTATCTGCGCTTCAGTCGGTCCATCTCGTCTCTGGAGGAGGTCACCTCCGTTGCCAGACCTATACGTGCCTGCGCCTCCCCGTCTCGCTCCCTCGCCAGGGCCTCTTCCCTCTCCCGCGACCTCAGGATCTCATCCACGTGCCTTCGGTTCAGCGCTTCCACTTGCCCCTTCAGCTGTTCGGCCAAAGACCTCAGATCCTCCCGGGACGACTCGCTGACCTCCTGTAAGGCCTGGGCTTTGATTTTCTCCTCCGTTCCCGTTTGAAGCTGGCTCCGGAGTATCACCACCTCCTCTTGCAGCCTGTGCAGTTCCTTCAAATTCATTTCCAGTTGTGCTTCGGCGATCACTAACCTAAACGGTGCGTCCTTACTTTCTATTAGAGACTTTTGCATTTTTTCGTTGCTTTCTGCTGCGCCCTTTTCACAATGGAGCTCGGCCACTCTCCCTTCCAACTCCGTCACTCTGGCTTGAAGTATCGCACATTGCACCGTTTGCTCTTTCAGCTTATCCTCTGTCACTTGTAGTTTTCCCAGCAAATCTTCGTTACCCCTTTGAGACACGTTGACATTTCTTGAGAGCATCGTCTCTCTGGCAACGAGCAAGTCGCGCTCCTCTCGAATCACGGCTAACTCCTTTGCCAACAAGGACCTCGCCTCCAGAACCTCGCCGTTTTCACGCTCTACTATCTTTAACTGTTCTTCCAACTCGTATTTTTGCATCATCACTTTTTCTACAATCTCTTCCAGGTATAAATTCTCATCTAGTAACTTCTTTTCTCTGTCTTCCACGCTAATATTGGCCGTATCCAGCCGCTCCTTTAGATGCTTTTCGGAAGCTTTCAACATGGCCAGCTGCTCTAACAAATTAGCCTTGCATTCAGATAACTCCCTCAGACTGTCTTCGCTCTTTTTAACGGTTAGTAGCAGCTTGGCGTTTATTTCTGTCAGATTGCTACACTGGATCTTATAGTCCCCAATATTCTCTTCACTCGCAGGCATTTCCGTAATGCAATGACTATCCGTATCAACATTTAGCTTTTCTAATTGCTCCTCTAAATGCTTTATTCTCTCTGAACTTGCAGACAACTCCTTTTCTCTGGTCCTGAGCGTCAGTTTTAAGTCTACAATTTGCAATTCCAAATCGTCGTCACACCGTTGTTCCACTTCTTCTTGCTCTTCACGCAAGCGCCTCCTCAGTTCCTCTGCCTGCCTTTCCCTGCTTTCCAACGAGGCTTGCAAATCTTGAAGTTGAGCTTTCAAATTACCCGTTTCTTTCTCTTTCAATGTAAGCGCCCCCTTGATTCTACCTACGGCGCTTTGCAACTCCTCCAAACGTTTCAAAGCTAGTTCGCGTTCACCGTCGGCTTTGGCTTTGACTTGAGCTAACTTCTCTTCGCAGTTTCTAAGTTCGTCTTGTTTGTGTTTTAGCTCCTTGGACAAGCTCTCTATGTGCCGTTGCTTCTCCTCTGCCTCTTTCTTTGCATCTACTTTCTCCTGTTCGGACAACTTGAGTTTGTCCAATACCTCTTGCATTTTCCACGCTGAATTGCAGTAGCTGGCGGTCTGCTGCCCCTTCTCCTTAAGAGCTTCATCTAGTTTTGTGAGTAGCTCCATATTCCTATTCTCTGAAGTGCAAAGCCGGTCTCTAAGCTCGCATTTTTCCTGCACGTTCTGCAAATGGTTCTCAGTATTCTGATTCAATGACTGCTGCAACTGTCCTTTCAAGTCATTTATGACAACTTTGAGTTTGCCTGCCTCCTGTTCCAGCTCTCGGACTTGGACTAAAAGTTCTTGTTGTTTCGCTTCTGACTGGTCCAGCTCAATGCGAAGGTTCTCGGCTAAGCTACAGGGTTCCCCCAGTTCACCCAGGTCTTCGAGAAGACTGTGGCCCAAGTCTGGGATGGCTCCAAACTCCTGTGCCTGATGAGAAAAACAGAAACATATTTCATCACAATTTGCGTGCAACTCGTTTGCCGGGACTCAGCACCTGTCCATGTGAAGTGTCCTGTATTCTGTCAATGCGCATGGTATGGATAAAAGTAAGAAAATAATTAATATACTGTAGGTTTTAGACCTAAATGAATGTGGTGAATCTCATAAAAAGCCAGAATTGACAAACACTGATGTACTAGTTAAATAAAATTCTAGTTAAACCTGGAGCAGAAACGTCAAGCTTCACGTTGGTGTGCAGAATTCAATGTGCACTTTGACAATAGAACATTGTAAATCTCTTAATTCTCTAATTTTCTGAACATATTATTTCATTATATGGAGAAAAAAATAACCAAGAATTGATAAAGTGACATGAAATGTTTAAGTGTGGTACAAAAAAGTAAATGAATGTATTAACAAATACTTTTTTTTAAAGGAGACAGCGTACAGCGTCTGAAGACTTCAACATTTAGATAAAATAAATTCCAATGTATTGGAAAGGATTTTAAAATATTTTTATTTTTATACATTTTTATAAGATTGTATAATCCAGTTCACATTGAAGATTGGAATCCCTTATAATATTAGTCATTGAACACAAAGATTTGTTTGTCTAATCGTTGCAACAGAATCAAATAATGCAACAAAAACTCTAACTGAATAAATGCTAAAGATAAAGAATCAAAAACCAGATTGGAGAGATCACTTTTAAACTGTAGTATTTTGCATCCTCCCTGGGTCAGTGCGACGGCCCCTGTGTTTCCTTGTTGTATAATTAATTGTTTGTTTGGAGGTGACCCTGGACGTATAGAGCCAGTGACCGCCACTTAAGCACATTTACACATATTTATTGCCCGTGACTGACAATCTTCTGAAATCGTAAGTCAGCTGACAGCGAAAGGCAAAACAAACAAGTACAGTATTTGAGGAACAGAGCAGTGAGGTTGACATTTGTGTTTGTGTACACGTGATCACCTGAGACAAGCTGCTGACCAGGCTGTTGACACTAGAGCAGCGACTGGGAGGTCTCCAGGAATAAGCACCAGCTGGTCCTAATGTCCTCCTATTATAAAACAAGAAGCCCACATCAGTATCAAATGTATTATGCAACTGCGGCTCACCACTTGAAAAAAACAAATACATTGTGGGAAACACTTACAACAAAATGATCAAACTTAAAGGTTAAACCAAAGCCCACATATAATCAATCGTAGATTGCAAGATTTGGATCACAGATTTTATTGGACTTCTAGTAGTATGTCTATAAATCTGTGAATTTTATCTGCCTAGTCTTATTGTTGTCTTAAACCCAGTATTTCTTTTTCTTATATCAAGTGAGAAATTGCTATATCTAAGCAACTTACTTCAAGCACTTATTCATATCAAATCATATTTTCTCAAGCTTCTGTTTTCTCTCAAACTTGAATCCTGCTTCTGCACTATGAAAATTATTTGATAAATAATAACTAGATATTTATTTGTGCAGACGTGCTATGACAAAAAGTCAGGACTTTTTGGTTCAAGAGCTTTTGACACTGTAGATACTGTTATACCAACTGTTTTTATGAATGTTTAATTAAAGCTCATCTTTTGCATGTCATGTCTGTAGTTATTTTTTTCTTTACATTATATTTTCAAATGAATGGGACTAAAAGATTACTATATGAGCGAGCATCCTCTGTTTGGACTGCAACACCCACAACCCGGCAACGGATAAAACAACATACATGCAAAAAATAATTAGGAAATGTCAATACCTAGTTTAAATAATAACACCGTTTACCGGGAGAGAAATCTGTTAAGATCTCCTCCAGTGGCTTTTCTTCTGGCTCAAATTGAGATTAAATTGACATTTGCAGTGTGAACAACTAATCAAAAAAATATTCACTACATGTTGCATTACTAGAAAAATAGCATGAGTGACAGCCCAAGACAATCCAACATATTGCTACAAATACTGTGTATATTTATGGAGATGTATCTACATTTATTGACATTGGTCATCAGCCCCTTGTGGATCAATGGTTCTATGTATTTTTGTGTTGTTTTTGTTATCATTGCATTTCTTGTGTTTGAACTGTTTGATTCTCTGATCTGTGTTTGCAAATTCAACAGTTGTGCATAAAATGTTTCTACAAAGTCCATCCATCCATTTTCTACCCTTTAATCCATTTCAGGGTCAGGGGGGTGGCAATCAGAGATGCCACCCAAGTCTCATAGCACCAGCCCCTCACTGACCCTCTGCAGGTGGTGAGTCCACAGGAGGACGGCTGCTCTCTGAGTGTGAGCATAGCCTTGATCTTTCAGTGGGGGCTTTGGGCAGAGTGGGGTTAAGTGTCTTGCCCAAGGACACAACAACAGCAGTCATCAGTGGGAGTCGATGGAGAAGGTGCAGAGGTGGGAATTGAACCCACAACCTTCTGGCCTTAAGGCCAATGCTCTACCAATTGAGCTACTGTCGCCCTCTTTCTACAGAGTCTTCCCTTTTAAAGTCCACTCCTGGCATTTCCAAATGGTAAACGAGACAAGACACAACATCTCACTTGTGTACTGTAATGTACTGTAATGATACGTGAATACAGATCCTTTTCTTAAACAAGGGACAATAAACGTATTACTTTGGAAAATAATTAGTTTTCATTCGCAAAACATGGATTAAGAGAGGGCAAACATTTCTACACGACACCGCCGCCACGATCCTGCCTATCCATGCTGTGTTCAATGTATCATAGCTAATTAGTCATTAATAAACAAAACAACATTATTATTTTTCCTCCAGATGAGAAGTCATGGAACATAAAATCCTATATCTAATTGAAAATACCATCTCTATTGACTTTTTCCAGGTCACTGCTTCTGTTTGTTGACGGTGTTACAACATGGAAGCATACAAAAACAATACAATATCACCATAACACACAATCATAGCTACAATAGTCAACACTAAGTCGAGCCGAGCAAAAACTCACTGATGCGGAAGTGAAAAGTTTGACAAAGGCGCTGACGGCAGAAGCGACCATTAAGACTAGCTGTCAGCACCTGCGCGATTCTTACACAGTGCAACAAAAAGGAGCCGCGAATATGATACCGGATAATGAACTGTTACTTCAGGCTGTGAAAATCCAATAGTGATTTCCATACTTTTGACATTTCAAATTAGCCGTTCTGCAAGGATGTGTTATTATTAATTATTACACTCCACAGCCAGGTGTATGGAGACCGTGGAGTGTAATATTTCCGCGTCTGCTGAAGGTACTAGTGAATTATCAATACACAAATGACTATAATTAAAAGGTGCGGTGTAGATCTTGCCTGGTTTTCGCAATCTGCCAGCTGCTTCTCTCTGCGGGAATGCATTGGTTTTCATAGGTTGCTCCACAATAAGGCATTACACTTATATCTATAAGTATTGTACCTTCAGCCATAGCTGCTCCAAACAAACTGTAATGTTGTCCATGTCCCTGTATTGCATGTGTTTTCTTCTGTGTATTTTGTGTATCTTATGTCTAATGTAACTTCCTTCCTCCCCATGCTATGTATGTGACAGTGTCTGTGGAAAAGAATATCCCTCAGGGGACAATAAATATCTATCTATCTATTGAAAAAAAACTATCCAAACAAGACCAAAAGAAAGAACCTTCGAGGGTCACATCCTTTGTTCTGTCCCCGGGAGCACCTGCAGCGCTTTGAAATGAAAGCGGCTTTGACAACAGCTCAGCGAACGCACAGCCATAACGTGGTACCGAGCGCAGACCATGCGGACAGGACCATAGACGTGCGGACAGGACCATAGACGTGCGGACAGGACCATAGACGCGTAGACAGAACCATAGACGCGTGGACAGAACCATAGACGCGTGGACAGAACCATAGACGCGTGGACAGAACCATAGACACGTGGACAGAACCATAGACGCGTGGACAGAACCATAGAAGAACCATAGACGCGTGGACAGAACCATAGATGCGTGGACAGAACCATAGACGCGTGGACAGAACCATAGACGCGTGGACAGAACCATAGAAGAACCATAGACGCGTGGACAGAACCATAGATGCGTGGACAGAACCATAGACGCGTGGACAGAACCATAGACGCGTAGACGGAACCATAGACGCGCGGACAGAACCATAGACGCGTAGACGGAACCATAGACGCGTGGACAGAACCACAGACTCGTGGACAGAACCATAGACGCGTAGACGGAACCATAGACGCGCGGACAGAACCACAGACTCGTGGATAGAACCATAGACGCGTGGACAGAACCATAGATGCGTAGACGGAACCATAGACGCGCGGACAGAACCATAGACGCGCGGACAGAACCATAGACGCGTAGACGGAACCATAGACGCGTGGACAGAACCACAGACTCGTGGACAGAACCATAGATGCGTAGACGGAACCATAGACGCGCGGACAGAACCACAGACTCGTGGATAGAACCATAGACTCGTGGATAGAACCATAGACGCGCGGACAGAACCATAGACGCGTAGACGGAACCATAGACGCGTGGACAGAACCACAGACTCGTGGACAGAACCATAGACGCGTAGACGGAACCATAGACGCGCGGACAGAACCACAGACTCGTGGATAGAACCATAGACTCGTGGATAGAACCTTAGACGCGCGGACAGAACCATAGACGCGTAGACGGAACCATAGACGCGTGGACAGATCCACAGACTCGTGGACAGAACCATAGACGCGTGGACAGAACCATAGACGCGTGGACAGAACCACAGACTCGTGGATAGAACCATAGACGCGTGGACAGAACCATAGACGCGTGGACAGAACCACAGACGCGTGGACAGAACCACAGACGCGTGGATAGAACCATAGACGCGTGGACAGAACCATAGACGCGTGGACAGAACCACAGACTCGTGGATAGAACCATAGACGCGTGGACAGAACCATAGACGCGTGGACAGAACCACAGACTCGTGGATAGAACCATAGACGCGTGGACAGAACCATAGACGCGGGATTTGTACAAGGCCGCTATTCGCATACAAATGTAAAACGCCTCTTAGGAGTCTTACAGTATGCTAAGAATAAACAGTCGAACGCCATGATCCTCTCATTGGATGCGGAGAAGGCATTCGACCGCCTCGAGTGGAAATTCATGTTCAAAGTAATGGAACGCTTTGGACTTGGTGACTCTTTCATTCAGTGGGTAAAGCTACTTTACACTTGTCCGGAAGCAGTTGTCATGTCAAATGGCATAATATCTAATCCCTTCACTTTAGAAAGGGGGACTCGCCAGGGCTGCCCTCTGTCTCCACTGTTATTCGTAATGGCTATTGAACCTCTAGCAGAGGCAATACGTACTCATCCCCATATATCTGGTATCAACAGTGGGACATTTAAACATGTTATTTCTTTATATGCAGATGATGTTTTACTTTTTGTTGAAAATCCTAAGATATCCTTACCAAATGTTATGAAAACTATTCACACATTTGGGGAACAATCAGGATATAAAGTCAATATGAGCAAGTCATCAGTCCTACCGCTCGGTGACAGCCGAAGCTCGCAGGACTCAAATCTCAATCAGTTCAAACTCACTGCAAACGGTTTTAAATATCTTGGCATCAAGGTCCCTTATAACTTGGAAGAGCTCAGCAAAATTAACCTGTTATCAGTTATTAAGCAAGTTAAGTTAGACCTTCTGAGATGGACAGCATTACCTTTATCTCTTTTGGGGCGTATAGCTGTCATCAAAATGAATATACTGCCACGGATTCTTTATCCAATGCAAATGATTCCTCATGCCATACCAAAAACTGTATTTAAAGATCTACATAAACAAGTTTCTAAATTCATTTGGAATGGCCGTCGTCCTAAAATGAAACTCGAAAAACTACAGTTGCCTTTGAAAGAGGGAGGCCTTGCTGTGCCCAATTTTCTGTACTATCACTATTCAATACAACTTAAGAACCTATCTGAGTGGGTAGTACAGGAAGCTGGAAACTGCAATTTAGAATTAGAATCTTTAGGATGCAAACTGTAACTTCTATCAAAAGCACCCTTTCTTCAAAGTAAACAACTGGAGAAAAATAACTATATAGCCTCAATATTTTAATGACCTGGAATACTATCAAAAAGGAGTTTTCAATTGACCCAAACTATTCATTTTTAGCTGTGATAGCAGATAATCCTCATTTTATTCCTTCTTGTTTAGATAAAGGCTACAGAGAATGGGAAAAACTTGGAATTAAAGTAATATATGATCTATACGATGGTAGTGTAATAAAATCATTCAGTCAGTTACAGGAATCATTTAACCTACCAAACAAAGAATTCTTTAGGTACTTGCAAATTAGGCATTTTCTAAACTCAATTCCACAATATAAACAAGGACTTGGTCCTCACTGCTTGGAAAAAATGCTATATAAAATCAGTTTACAAAAAAGTAAAAAAGTTTCATACATTTATAGTCATCTGGTTACTTTAATGAGTGTGACCACAGTGCGTAAAAGGTCTTGGGAGCATGATCTTGATATGAGTATAACAACCCAACAATGGAGCACTATCATGCTCAACTCCAAAAAAATATGTTGTAGTTACAAGTCACAAGAAATTCAATTTAAAATAATAAACAAATTACAAACTACTCCATATCAACGGAATAAATATGATAAGAACTGTTCATCACTATGTAAACAATGCAAACAGCATGTGGGTACCTATGTACATTTAATATGGTCGTGCCCAATGTCAAAACAATACTGGTTAGAAGTATGTGAAAATATTTCATCCATTGTTCAAAACCGTGTAAAGCCCTGCCCTCTCCAATGCATTCTGGGACTGTCGAACTTTGACCCAAAACTGAGGCAACATACAAAATTAATATCATTGCTTTTGTACAGTGCAAGATTAACAATTATGCAGCACTGGTTAGAGGATGCAGGACCACGAATCTCTGATTGGTTTAAGAATATCTTAAGCCTTTTCCCATTGGAAAGACTAACTTATCTTCTAAAAGGAAATACCGACACCTTCTTCGAAATCTGGAATCCTGTACTGAATCACATCGGAGGAGATGCAGCTAGAATATTAAAGAAAGCTATCTCTGTCATGTAACTTGATGTACTGAAGTGGCTAGTGACCTGTGTGCTCGTGTGTGCTCGTGTGCGTGTGAGAGGCTGTGAATGTGTAGGTTCGTATGGGAATGAATGGACAGTGCACAGAAGGTTTGTGGCTGGATGCTGAGAGTGAATGTGGGGGGTGGGGGTGGTGGTAAGGGGGGATGTTCTGTTTTGTTTTGTTTTGTATTGTTTGTTATAATTTGAGATTGATTTTGTTTTGTTTTGTATTACTGTTTGTTATAACTTAAGATTGATGTACTTTTACAGTATTAATGTGATGCACATGAACTGTAAATCTCTTAACTGTTAAATAAATTGAAAGAAAGAAAGAACCATAGACGCGTGGACAGAACCATAGACGCGTGGACAGAACCATAGACGCGTGGACAGAACCATAGACGCGTGGACAGAACCATAGACTCGCCATCAGGACCATCCCCAGCTTGTTGCACGTGCGGGTCTTGCACGTCTTCCCTGTGTCTGAACACTGTTAGTGCCCCTTTATTGCCAAACTCTTGTTCACTTATTGTATTGAGAAATATTTTTTGTCTCACATTATATTTGGTTGTCTTGTTATCTTTCCTGTTTTGAAGTCTTATATTTTTGTACTATATTCTACTGAAGGGTTGTCTGTTTCTTTTACTGTTTCTTAGGAGAAACAGAGAGTGCGATTCCTGTCAGTCCCAGAGCATGACTGATTCCCAGAAGATACGTATTCAAATCTTTCCAAAATGTCTACTAACCACACACACAAAAAAAGATTGAAAAGAAAAAAATACAAATACATGAACTATTGAAGTTGAGCATTTCAGTGTTTGGATTATGTGTGCTTTCACTTTTAAAGTGAAGACCTTATTGACTCCTAAAGGGGCAGAGAATTAAATGTTTACCTGGCAAAGCTTGGCCAGTCTGCATCGAGGTCGTAGCCTCTCGCTGCTACGTCAAAGTGGATTTGGTTGAGCTCATAAAGGTGATTGATGATATCAGCTGTGAGGAAGGACTTCAAAAAGGGACTCCGGGCATAATACCAGTCACTGTAAGCAAAACATGCAGATCGATTTAAAACCATCTCAAAGTGTTAAAATAGGGAAAGAATATACAGATGATGATTTGTCATGTCTCTAACACAGCTACTTGCATAAGAGGAACTTAAAAAACAAAGAAATACTATAGCTAATGGTAGAGAAAATGTAAAGTTTAAAATATCTATTATTTTTTTGAGTCTGTGATCACTCTAAACAAAACATGTAATGTATGTAACTTTTGTCCAGGACTCCCTTGAAAAAGAGGTTCTTAAGCTCAATGGGACTTTCCTGGTTAAATAAAGGTGAAATAAAAAAATGTTTGGCCAACTCTTACCCAGAAATACAGTGCCTTGCAAAAGTATTCGGCCCCCTTGAACCTTTCAACATTTCGCCACATTTCAGGCTTTAAACATAAAGATATAAAATCTTAATTTTTTGTCATGAATCAACAACAAGTGGGACACAATCGTGAAGTGGAACAAAATTTATTGGATAATTTAAACCTTTTTAACAAATAAAAAACTGAACAGTGGGGCGTGCAATATTATTCGGCCCCTTTACTTTCAGTGCAGCAAACTCACTCCAGAAGTTCAGTGAGGATCTTTGAATGATCCAATGTTGTCCTAAATGACTGATGATGATAAATAGAATGCACCTGTGTGTAATCAAGTCTCCGTATAAATGCACCTGTTCTTTGATAGTCTCATGGTTCTGTTTAAAGCACAGAGAGAACCATGAAGACAAAGGAACACACCAGGCAGGTCCGAGATACTGTTGTGGAGAAGTTTATAGCCGGATTTGGATACAAAAAGATTTACCAAGCTTTAAACATCTCAAGGAGCACTGTGCAAGCAATTATATTGAAATGGAAGGAGTATCAGACCACTGCAAATCTACCAAGACCCGGCCGTCCCTCCAAACTTTCATCTCAAACAAGGAGAAAACTGATCAGAGATGCAGCCAAGAGGCCCATGATCACTCTGGATGAACTGCAGATAACTACAGCTGAGGTGGGAGAGTCTGTCCATAGGACAACAATCAGTCGTGCACTGCACAAATCTGGCCTTTATGGAAGAGTGGCAAGAAGAAAGCCATTTCTCAAAGATTTCCATAAAAAGTCTCATTTAAAGTTTGCCACAAGCCACCTGGGAGACACACCAAACATGTGGAAGAAGGTGCTCTGAAACCAAAATCTAACTTTTTGGCCACAATGCAAAACGATATGTTTGCCGTAAAAGCAACACAGCTCATCACCCTGAACACACCATCCCCACTGTCAAACATGGTGGTGGCAGCATCATGGTTTGGGCCTGCTTTTCTTCAGCAGGGACAGGGAAGATGGCTAAAATGGATGGGAAGATGGATGGAGCCAAATACAGGACCATTCTGGGAGAAAACCTGTTGGAGTCTGCAAAAGACCTGAGACTGGGACGGAGATTTATCTTCCAACAGGACAATGATCCAAAACATAAAGCCAAATCTACAATGGAATGGTTCACAAATAGACGTATCCAGGTGTTAGAATGGCCAAGTCAAAGTCCAGACCTGAATCCAATCGAGAATCTGTGGAAAGAGCTGAAGACTGCTGTTCACAAACACTCTCCATCCAACCTCACTGAGCTCGAGCTGTTTTGCAAGGAAGAAAGGGAAAGAATTCCAGTCTCTCGATGTGCAAAACTGATAGAGACATACCTCAAGCGACTTGCAGCTGTAATTGCTGCAAAAGGTGGCGCTACAAAGTATTAGCGCAAGGGGGCCAAATAATATTGCATGCCCCACTTTTCAGTTTTTTATTTGTTAAAAAAGTTTAAATTATCCAATAAATTTCGTTCCACTTCACGATTGTGTCCCACTTGTTGTTGATTCTTGACAAAAAAAATCGAATACTGAATACTAGCCGAATATAGCCGAATAATAGCCGAATACTTTCGCAAGTAACTGTAAAACCTGGAAGAGAGACTTGCACTTCCCTATAATCTAAAATGTCAGGTTTCTAAAGTAACTGGAAGTGAGCAGTGATACTTCACCTGGTGACCCTCTGGTTAATGAGACACTGTTGTAACGTGTCGGCGAGTCGTTGATGAACCAAACAGTAACGAATGAAGGCTCTTCCTTTACCCAGCGACGTCTTCAGCTGATGACACAAAAAATACAAATTAGGCCTGAAAGACACATATTATCGATATTGTATCGATATTATCGATAGGTGTGAACATTACTAATAACAAAGAGGGGACTGTCCCACTTCAGGACATCTGAGGTCTGTCCACTGCAGCTCTCAGATGCTCAGCAAGTGGTTCCACTGTCACTTCAGCAGACAACTCTGTCCCATTGGAGGTAATGGGGGCAGTGGTCTCCTTGAATCTCAGAGACCTTCACTCCAGAGGACACTGCGCCTGAACCCTTAACTCCACAGGATGTTAAGAAAACTATTGAGTCAACATATCAAAGTTAGTGTTTAAGACCAGTGGAAACACTATATTGTTTACTGTATTCTTCAAGAGTTTCTCCAAGAAGAGACAGTTTCTTATTATTGTATTTATTTATTAGATGTATTTAATAATATCTAAAGACATTGTATTGTAGCCTTGTTGTCAAACTCATTATTCGCATGTGCCTCTGCCCACTCAATGAAGCACAAGTAGCATGTAATGTAGGCATAGCTGAATGCGTGCATACAGCCGCATTGGGCAGCACGATGGCGGAGTGGATAGCACTCTCGCTTCTCAGGAGAAGGTCCTGGGTTTGAATCCTGGTCGGAACAGTGGTTTTCTGAGTGGAGCATGTTCTCCCTGTGTCTTCGTAGGTGTCCTTCAGGTGCTCCGGTAAAGCGCTATGTGGCTATATAAATAAAGATTACTTACTTACTTACTTACTATCCGCATCAAGCTATACCAGAAGACACAAACAAAGGTACCACACCTTAGAATAAAGTATGGTATCACAATAATGCAATAAGAACACAGTGGGTCAGAAGCCTCAGTGCGTATAGAAGGCATGAGCTCTATACCCACTAAGAGGGAGGTGATCCAAACAACATCTGGATCTGGGTTTTTTAATGAATGGCGGAGGTCTCTGCTCCTAAAGTGCTTTTCTGGTTATACTATTATGTTTATAACTCATTGAAGGACCCACATGTCAGGACAGAAAATAAATTAAATCTTTGATTATTTTGTACTTCATATTTTAGTAATAATTGGAATGCTAATTAACATAAGTACATTTGTATTCTACACATTTTGCAGTCCATTTATTATACAAGGAGGCTGCCACAACAAGTGAACTTCAACCAGTGAAAGATTTATCAAATTTAGATTTGCTTTTGAAATTGAAATATAAAGACGGCAGGATAAAACCGCCTCCATGTTCAAGAATCAAAGAAGGAAAATAATTAGCTGTCGTTTCAAAATGTTGACGCAGTGCTGAGGAAACTACTTCCACCCCAAAATGAGTTCACTAATGATCATCAGCATAATGTACGTAGTTAGAAACCCTGTAAAAGCAAAACTTACAAACTCAGTAATTATGGTGTTTACACTGAAGTACATTAGCTGGCTAATTCCGCCCATAAAAATGAATGATTAAAGCACAAGGCCATATGGTACAGTGGCATCATTAATTCAGTAATAATTAAGCCAAACAATGCTGATATAAACGATCTTCTTAATCATCAACGCAAAAAACACGGCATAAAGTTTCATAGTTCAAGCAACATATAAGAAGTATCAACGCATTTCAGTTTATACTTGAAAGCTTACCAAAAGAAAACAACTGAAACAATAATGTAAGGTACAGTACAAAGTATTTTGGTCAAAACAAAGAAAAAAAGACGTAAGATGGTATAAAGATGTTACTAGCATATATATATATTTTTTTTCATAAAATTAAAGAAATGTTTCAACAAATTCAAGTCTTACCAAAATGAAGCATCGACTCAAAGCTGAGAAACAGGACGAGTGTAAAAGCGTGACAGTGTTACAGCACTGACCAAAGGATTATCCACAGTTGTGTGTGTGTGTGTGTGTGTGTGTGTGTGTGTGTGTGTGTGTGTGTGTGTGTGTGTGTGTGTGTGTGTGTGTGTGAGTGTAGCATGTGCGAAAGATTACCTCTGGGATGGACTTAACAAAACGGATGCCATCATTAGCTCCTTTAATCTTGATCAGGCATTCACAGAAATAATCCCAGTAGTCTTTCCTCTGACCAAGAAATGTGCTCTTCTCTTTCTGGTCAAACTTAAATATAAATAAACATAAAATGACAAGAAAAACAGCAGATTAGTTTTAAACTATTACTAACTGTAACTGATGGATTTTAGCTGAAGACACTTCTACCCTAGTACATAAACTACATACATAAATTGATACAATGAAAATAAAATGATCAAATAAATAATAATAATAATTGCATGTATTTTAGACTGCAGAGTCTTACATCGTAGATATATAATACAATGTTTTGATCCATTACCTGCAGTAAATATTCCAATTTATAAAAAAACTTGTGCAAATTGGGGCTGTCATCCGTTATAGGCTCTCCACAGTCTTTGTGCTCTTTACTCAACTCCGTCACAGCATCTAAAACAGGAAAATCAATACACTGAGATAAGAATGATAAGAAACGTACTCAAAAACAAACATATGGATAAAGTAAAGCTTTAATTCAACAACAATAGTGACGTCAAACACCGAAAAGACGTAAGATTAATGTGGTATGTTAGTTTGTGACGACAATCCTAACAACATAATTATGAAAACATTCAACATTTGTGACTAATAGAGAATACGTTATTTATAACTAGAGCTAGGGAAATTCATCCAGTCATTTTGGGACAGCTGCAGCTGTAAGGTGCCAAACTGTCATTGTGTTCTTGGGCAAGACACTATAGACTTCACACACACCGCCTAAAAAAAGTCTAATGTGTGTGTGAATGGTTGGTTGTGGTCTGAGGGTCCGATAGCTAATACTGGATGCCTCAGTTCTGACAGTGCACCTGAGGGCAGCTTTGGCTCCTGTAATAGTTTATTTGAATTTGTAATATACTGAAAATAAAAAACATTATACAATCATGTTACGACTTCACTATTACAGATGCTACAAGGAAAAAGGGGGAAGAAAACGCCAAATATAGTTGCATTGTGTGTTACCTTGGAGATCTCTGATTATCCTCTGCAGCTGATTATCTCCTACAGATGATGAGGCCATTCTCAATAAAAGGAAAGGACTTGAAAAAAAAAAAACACACATTTACACAATTAACACAAGCTCATAGACCAGCTATAGCTACTGTATAAGTAAAATTACAATACAGAGCCCCAAATTTATTACAGGTCATACATCAATATAATAGTCTTTGTAAAAATGGGAACTATTTTATCCCTGTCGGAGCAATGTTTAATTAATGCGTAATTAGCTAACACATTACCGGGTAGTTTCTGATTGAAATGAATGACCACACTAGGAGCTAAGTAGAGTTACTGTAGCAGTGACATTCATATTACACAGGCAAAAATGATCATGAAATATATGTGTCAGTCGTCTCAATACTCGGGGATATATTATACGAATGGTGTCCTAGTATCAAAGATAACACTATACAAGAATACCTCTTCTAAAAACGTCAAAAGTCCTGAAATAGCATCATAAACACCGATGCACTGAACTAGCAGCAGCCTCCTGCAGTAATGTTAGCTACAGCATCATGCACCTGTTCCCAACCCAGATGCTCTTTATTTTGGCCAAATGATAGAACGAAATATTATTGCAATGTGTCAGGAAAATAAGAAAAACATTTAAGATCTCAAACGCAATGAATAGGAGGCGAAACACGTACTTGAAATGCAAAATATTCCGAGGTGTAGTAAAGCTTCACGGTGCTACAGCTGGAGCATGCTGTCGGAGGGGGCGGGAGATGAGTGTGATGGACAGCTGTGCAAACCAATCACGAGCAGAGTTTGGTTGCATGACAAACAGTAAACAAACAGACAGAGAAACGTGGTAACTAAAAACAAACCCAGGATCTATCTGCCATCATATGTCGAACTCCATATTGAAAAATAATTGGATTTGTTTATGCGAATTTACAGCTTAAAACCTTACATCTTGAACAAGTCAAGTATACAATCCAATTCTAGGTACACACTCGATTGAATAAGATTAAAAAATAAAATAGATAAATGTGTGATGTCTGGTGTAGTTTCAGAAAACCCATGTGTTTCCAAACTTGCAAGAAAGCATCAAGGAAAAAGTACAAGAAAATGTATTTGGGAAAGTACCATCATTTTGGGAGCTAAAAGGACGAGTAAAATGTTATATGTATTAATTGGTTATATATTTTATATATATATATATATATATATATATATATATATATATATATATATATGTATATATATTTATATCCGAATGGTTTCCGAAAACAATATTGTTATTACTGTATTCTCACAGCAGTGTATTATTTGATTAAATTATACCCTTCTGCAAGTGTAATACTAATAATCACAATATATTCACTAAATATTTGAGGATACCATCCATCCATCCATTTTCTTCCCCTTAAGCCATTTTTGGGTCGGGAGGTTGGACCCAATTCACAGAGCACCAGCCCCTCACTGATCCTCCTGCAGGAGGTGAGTCCACAGGAGGATTGCTGGTGAAGACGCACAACCTTGATCTTTCATTTTATTGGACACTATAGTCTAAAATTTGGACTAATCTAATCTGATTTCTGTCCTGAATAATAGATTTAAATACAACCCTGATATTACCATAAATGTATGGCCTATTGTTTTACAAATATGCTTAGTTGACATTTCCTAGTTCTTTATCCTTCATGAGATAGTATAGTAATCGTAGATAAGTGTGTAATCTCCATTAAGCGCTTTTCACAGACCACGGTCATTTGCACTTTGTGACACTTATAGTTAGTTAGTATAGTTTTTTATTCTGAAGAGAGGACAATGATTCAAACATTTTCACAAATGTTTTTCCTTTTTGCATGATTTTAAAAATATTATGAACTGTGAAAATCAGTAAGCAAAAAAGAATAGGCTTTCAAGACTGTTCTTTCAATTTAACAATTCTTCAGGAAAAAAAGGAAAACTATAGTGATCTTAACAATTGACCTTTGTGGCGTACGCAATGAAGCATTAGTTTTATATAATACTTTTGGAAACTCAAAAATGCTTTACATGGCCTTTGTGAGATTTCATAACACTTTTAAGCTACTTTTGTTAAAGTTAAACTCATCATTCTATCAATGTGCAGAAGCCTGTACTTTTCCCTTGTTTTGTCTATCTGAAGGTCAAGCTACATGGCACTGTGGAAGCTGCTGATTGGAGGTCTCCATGCCTCCGCTCTGTATAATACACTTGCATTCTGTTGTTCGTGCTGTCTCTACCATTGACAATAAAACATGTCTTCTGTCTGAATTAATGACACGTGAATGTGTGACCAGAGGGGGGAATGTGAGATTTCATAACATTTTTAAGCAACTTTTGTTAAAGTTAAACTCATCATTCTATCAATGTGCAGAAGCCTGTACTTTTCCACTTCATGTTTTGACTATCTCTACTGGCACTGTGGCAGCTGCTGATTGGAGGTCTCCATGCCTCCGCTCTGTATAATACACTTGCATTCTGTTGTTCGTGTTGTTCGTGCTGTCTCTACCATCGACAATAAAACATGTCTTCTGTCTGAATGAAAGACGCGATCCCAGACTTTGTCATCTTCTTCAGGTGGTGGAAGGATGCGGGCCTTGTCTGTAACATCTACAGAACAGAACACTTTTTTTTTACACAAAAAAGTGTTTTTGTTTTAAGCCAAAACTGAGAAACCTCAAGAGAAACCATGCATCTGGACCAGCACACTTGGACAATCTGCACAGCCCCTGATTCCACTCAGGCTGCACGCTGCTGAGACATGGACAACACCATCGTCCTCTTTTGCATGGACACCATTTGGAAAAATTGGATTACACAATTTGGACATAATTTGGAACAATTGGATTTCTGAATTTGGACATAATTTGGACTGAATTGAATTTCTGAATCTGGACACTAAAGCTGAAACGTGTGATTGAAAGTCACGTCACAGAAGAATTCATGGCTCGACACAAATGCAGCCTGAAGAAACCAACACGGAGAAGTGGGAGAGACAGCTAATATCTGGAACCACCATTGACTGATGAAGTTTGGTATTTTACTGAAGATTGTTGACAAGTTTTATGAAAGATCTGAACATGTTTTATGAGTTTTATGAGTTTTTGAAGTATTCCGAGTTCTGAGGTTTTTGAAGTACCGAGTGAAGTACTGAGTTTAAGTATTGAGTTATGATGTTATGTTGCTGTTTATCGATCTTGATGCAGAGGGGGGAATGTGAGATTTCATAACACTTTTAAGCAACTTTTGTTAAAGTTAAACTCATCATTCTATCAATGTGCAGAAGCCAGTACTTTTCCCTTGTTTTGTCTATCTGAAGGCCAAGCTACATGGCACCGTGGAAGCTGCTGATTGGAGGTCTCCATGCCTCCGCTCTGTATAATACACTTGCATTCTGTTGTTCGTGTTGTTCGTGCTGTCTCTACCATTGACAATAAAACATGTCTTCTGTCTGAATTTATGACACGATCCCAGACATGTCATCTTCTTCACCTTTATTAATTAATTCTGTACACAGAAACTACTGCTGTAGCCCACCACTAACCATTCTCGTACACACCTGACTCCTTCTGGGAAATGCGGGCGAAGTAGAACACAATAACAGTTTGTCACTTTACAGTCGCAGTTGCCCCTCTGGTGTCTCCCATCACCGTACAAACCAGGCCCTGAACTACTTAACTGCTTAGAGTGGGTTATTTTCCCAAAAATATGTTGCATAACCTGCTATTGCTCATTGTTTACATGTCTTAATAAGAGTGCTCTTAACAGACTTCAATTTGTGCAAAACTCCGCTGCCAGACTTTGAACAAGAACCCCCCGGTGGTCTCACATCACCCCAGTCCTCTCCTCACTTCATTGGCTCCCAATTAAATTACGCATTGATTTCAAAATTTTAGTTTAAACTTTCAGAGCCTTAAATGGTCAGGCTCCATCTTACATCTCGGACCTCTTGACCCACACTGTTCTGGCCGCACTCTTAGGTCCACAGGCCAGGTCCCAAAGACCCGCTATAAGACCCGGGGGGACTGGTCCTTCCAGGCCGTGGCCCCCAGACTGTGGAACGCCCTGCCTCTGTCCCTCCGTGTGGCCAACTCTGCCGATGCTTTTAAAAAGGGACTAAAGACACTTCTTTTTAGGGCAGCTTCTATCTAGTTCATTGTTGTTATTTTCCAATTAATATTATTATTTTCATTGTAAATGCATACCTGTATCTGCTTTTACCTTGTACAGTACTTTGTGATTTTTATCTGTGAAAGGTGCTCTATAAATAAAGTTTACTTACTTACTAACTATTGAAAATTAGAGAAAAGGGAAAATTATTCTGTTAAGCCAACATCACACTAACATTTAACACTAACCCAGTCCATAAGAACAAAATGGGATATGAAATCGAATCCTATTCTCTGTTCACTTTATTGAGATGACTTTGAAGGAAATGTAAGTATTCTTGATCCAGGTCTGTCAAGTGACTTGTCTCCAACAAAGTAAGTAGGTGTATTTAAATGCAGCTTATGTATAACTACATAAGTTGTAAGTTGTATCACTTTTAATATTGATTATAACGTTTCTGCTTTTTGTACGACAGGGAATGGATGTTACTTCGTCCTATTACGAGTATGAGAGTTCTTCTTTTTACGAGTATGAGAATTATTCTTACGAGTATGAGAATTCTTCTTACGATGGTCACAGCGGACCCTGCAACGTTTCTGGCTCCTTACAATTTGGTAAACTCTTCAACTCTGTGTTCTTTTCCATTGTGGTAATCCTGAGTGTCTTTGGAAACTGTCTGGTCATCACAATCCTCATCAAATATGAAAACCTCAAGTCCATCACCAACGCCTTGATTTTTAACCTGGCCATCTCAGACCTACTGTTCACAGCTGGTCTGCCCTTTTGGATCTACTATTACACAAACGGCACCTGGACTCTGGGAGAATATGCGTGCAAAACTCTGCATTTTCTTTTCTATGTGGGATATTACAGCAGCAGCTTTCTTCTTATCCTGATGACAGTTCACCGCTTCATTGCCGTGGTGAACCCGCTCTCAGACATTGTTTCCACTAAAGGTGTGTACTGCATTTTGGCCCCTGTCTGCGTTTGGCTTGTTGGTATTGCTTTCGCTGTTCCATACATAACTTACACATTCATAAATGAAGAAGGCTTTTGTGGATATTGGAATGATTGGGGAACCTACCAACAAAATGCACTGTTCATTCTGACATCTTTAGTCTTCGTTTTCTGCTACACACAGATTTTTTGGACACTTCTGCACCCAACAGGACAACGAAGAATGTACAAAACCCTGAAAGTCATTCTCACCCTCATGGTTGTGTTCTTCCTCAGCTGGGCACCGTATAATGTGGTGATCTTCTTACAGAAGCTTCCATTTGGCAGAAAAAACTGTCAAATTTATGAAACACTTGAGTACGCCTTTAATATTTGCAGACTTGGTGCCTTCTCTCACTGCTTCCTCGACCCGGTGTTTTATGTGTTCGTGGGAGACAAGTTTAAAAACCATTTGATGAGGTTTGTAAAAGGTTTGGGACATGACTCTCGGCGAAACAGCAGTGTCCGCAGTCGACAGGGCAGGATGACAATCACCTCCCTCACCAGTGGAGAAGAGATGTCTCTCTAAAAATACATCTATTTAGCAGAAAAATTAGACCAGAAATCAATATACTTTTCCATCAAAATCATTTCTCAATTCTTTCTTTTAAAATCATGTTTATACATTTTTAAAAACAACATCAACACACGCACCCATACATCCGAGGTAATAATAATGTGGTAATAACATGACTAATGCATGTTTTGTTTGAAAGACCTCATCAGGACATTTGTTTGTAAAAGATGTTTGAAAATCACTTGTAATCATCAAATTGTTTATTTTTTATCAATCAATCAACATTTTTTCAAGTACAGCAAAGGTAAAACAGCTGAAGTGCTGCAGTTTGTGTCCTAACAAGAACCAGGAAGTAAGACCACATTAGTCCAGTTCTCAGGTCACTGGCCTCGCACCAAAGTACATCTGTGAGGACTTTGTGAGGGCCTCATCACAATCATTGTTCAAGTGCACGCTGAAAACCGTTCTATTTTGCTGTGTGTGACTTTTTTGAGTTTTATATATTGAGTTTTAATTCTGACATTAGTGTATTTTATTCTAAGATTGTTTTATAGTGTTTGATAAACTGTGATCTATTTGCGAACAAGGAAATACAAAGTTCACAAAAGAGTAGATATACACACCCATCAAAATCTTTGGAGACCAGACATAGATTTGTAATGTTACTATATTGTTTATAAAATCAATAAAATCAATATTTAAAATACATGTTTAAAGTTGCTATTTTATATTTTGTATCATAGCTTGTCATGGTGTTTGAGAAAATAAAAGGAAATTGAGTATTCTGTTCAGTCTTCCTGCCTCCTTGAGAATTAAATGGTGTAGTTTACTACTTTGGCCAGCACAGTTCAAGAATGTATTCGCCATTTGCTGTAAAACCAAATTGGAAAAACAGTGGCGGAGTGGTTAGCTTCACATCAAGAAGGATTCGATTCCACCTCCACATGTGGCTCCTTGAGTGGCGTTTGCATGTTCTTCCCCTGTCAGCATAGTTTTCCTCTGGGTGCAATATAGGTCCGTTATGCGCTTAATGGCTCTGTCTGTAAAAGGCACTCTATAAATAAAAACTACTTACTTCCTTTTCGTGTGTATAAAGATGTAAAAATCTTACAGTATTCGACATTTTTGGCAACTGCAAAAATAAATACCGCGATTAAAATGCATGGTTAAAGTCATAAATATTGGAAGAAGGCGAGGTCTTGATTGTGCTCTTGTCAATTATACACCTCTGAAAGAATAAAAGCTATCGAATCATAATTTACCCTTCCCAATATGGCAGTAAGTGCCTTCCCAGCCCTGGAGGAGATTGACAGGACATAGCCATGCAAATTTATGATCTCACTATCATCTGTATGTTGCACTATAAATCTTTAAACATGCATAAAGTGTCCCGTTGGTGTGTGAGGGCCACATGGGTGTAAAAGGGGGTCTCTATGGGGGGCCCCCAGAGAAGCGGGTGGGACGCACTGTAACAGCTCTCAGATGTCTCTCTGGGGGTAGATTAGGCTTAATTAACTAAAGCATCCAACACGCTTCATTGGATGGATACAAGTCAAGGGCAGAGCAGTCGCACGGTCCTCCAGTGGAAAACACAAAAGCACATTTTTAAACAAGTGGTGAGGAGAGAATGTACAGTGAGGCTAAAAATAAAACCGCAGCATGTTTGACAGAATAACTTTGATGACGGGATTTTACACAAAGAATGCATAATTAACGACATAACATGAATAGGTTGGCTGATTTACAACTTGTAAAAAAAATACATAAATTAAGGTTTTTTTATGACATTCACTGTTGATTGTAACTATAAAGCCGCCACTAAAATGATGCCTGCATTAATTTGACAGGACTGTGAATATAATGTGGATGGGAGTAAAAAGTGCAGAAAGATATCTGAGAAAGCTGTAATCTGAATCTAATAACAATGGTTAGGTTAAGTTTATATATCCTACTTTAACATCCCATTTGACCCATCTTTCCAATGCCGGTAGGGCCTCTGTCAGGAGCCGTGGTTGCTGTAACACAGTTCCTAGAGACCCATTTCCAGGTGCAATTAGAGGTGCATTATTTTAGAAACAATAATAATGCATTGGTTTTATATAGTGCTTCTTTGTGCACTCAAATACACCGTGATGATAAACTACTGTAGCCACAACTGCCTTGGGGCGATGTAACCAGTATGTGCCATCGGCCCCTCTGGTCACCAACAACCATTCACACACAACAGACTCATTCAAGGAAATGTGGGTGAAGTGTCTTGCCAAAGAACACAACAGCAGCATTTTACAGCCGCAGCCGCCCCACTGTGGCTCCTGGTGTTCCCAGAGGTCTCCCATCACAGTAACCAGGCCCTGCTCTGCTTAGATTCAGAGGTCTGCCGGATTCTAGCTTTCACAAGCAAGTATGGCCTTGACAACAACAACATTATGGTAATTCTGTTTTTAAGCTTGGTCCAAAAAACCTCCCATCTGAAATGATAACATTATTATCATTTTTTTCCAGGTATTTTAGAAACTTAAATGCTTACAATTGATTGAATATAAGATGCTCACTGTTCAGGCAGTGACTGGTGCAGAAAGGAACCATATGAGACGAGATAGAGCCAGTGTTGTCTCTTTATCACAACGTCTAACATTCAAAATAAACTATCACATCTGGTTGAGTAAAGGGTTTCCAAACTTTTTCAGCCATGAAATTGACTTATGACCCCCATAATAACAAATAACAATATTCTATTAAATATAGTCAAGACATACTAAATCAATTTCATGTTGATTATTTGTATAATTTATTTGAAAAACAGGCACTTAAAAATAATATTTGTAACTAAAATATTATCATGTTGTGACCCCCAGCTAGTGTCCTGAGACTCCCACTTTGAGAATCACTGGCTGGGTCGCTACAATGGTCCTGAGGAGAGAAACAAGTGAACAACAAGAGCTATCAGATATGTAAATGTGCGTTTTAGAGACCTGTGACAAAAAAAACCCATAAAAAGATAAGACACACAGTACTTGACCGTGGCCAGTTCCTCCATCTCAATCACAAAGCAGTATCGTAATACTTTAGTTAGTATTCCTTCTGTCACTTTAAATTCTCCTACCTCTGGTCACATATTGATAATCTGCACAGTTAAATGTATATTGTGCGTATTCATCAATTAGAATTGTATTTTTTTAATGCACGTTTTTATTTATTTATTCACTTTTTTATAACTTGTTTGCACTATATGTCCAAGAAAATTCCAAGTTTGTTACTTCCTGTTACGTACAATGGCAATACATTTAGTTCTGATTCTGAATTTCTGATTAGGTTGGAGTGCACTGTATCCCTATGTCAAAGAAAAAGGGTACAAATTTGATCTATTTGCTCAAAAAGCCCAAAAAGGGAACATATCCATCTGAATCTGAATCTGATTCTGATTCTGATATCAGTGTCTTGTGGCTGAAATTGGACTTATTGGCAGGTGTAAAATCAGCTACTATTGGTAAATGCTGTCGTGTGTTCTTGAGCAAGACACTTAACCCGCCTCTTCCTGGTGTATGAATATGGTGTATGTGAATGGGTGATTGGTTTCTTGATGGGCGACACAGTGGTTGTGTCGAGTTTGCATGTTCTCCTTGTGTCTGCGTAGGTTTCCTCCAGGTGCTCCGGTTTCCCCTTCCACAAAAAAACATGTACAATAATAAGTGATTAAATTGTAATGGTTAGAGGCTTTGGCTTTCGCTTCTGTTATCACCGTGTGTGAAGTGAATCGTAATTATCGGTGCACCAAAATTGTTTCATGCGTTGTGTGACCTTGGTCTGTGAAATGCGCTGTATAAATAAACAAAAGTTGCCTTGAAAAGCGCTGTATAAATGTGACCTTTTACCATTTATACATAATTTGGAATGGTACCTTAAAGTGAATAAATGTACCATTAGCATACCCCCTTTTCTAACAGCGTATACACACATCTACAGTCTACACTAAATGCTTTGACATTGTTCTTTGCATCAAAAGCACATTAGGGGGGCCAATTAATAATGCACCAGCGAAATAGCGGCAAAAGACAAATAAAAAATGCACCGCACAGACGATCATTTAAAGCCTCTTGTCTCTTATCTCTTCCCTGAATCATTTTCTTAGCAAATGATGTTGTTGTTCCATCCTGCTTTTAGCCACGAGCTACACAGCTGTTGTTTATGCAGTGCGAGTGGCCCACCCAACCCAGCCCCTGCCTCCCCTGCCTCCCCTGCCCCTCCTCTCTCCAGGGCAGCACCACTATCCCTCCTCTTCTACATGCCTAATCCCCCTTATCTATAACAATAATTACTGCTACCATATGTGAAATTAATTGATGGCTCGCAAATGTGTAAATGTGTGTATTTGACTGCTAATAAAGGCTCATTGCAAGTTAATCCATACTGTCAGCGAAGGCGCGTGCAAATCGATTACGTGTGTCAGCCTTATCATTACAAACAACTGTTATCACGGGCAAATATAGACGGCTTAATCCCTCCCCAACACACGCCGGCATGTATGACATTATGGGGAAGCAGCAAGTTCTTAATCATATTCGTCATGGGAATCAAATGTATGTAAAGAAGG